GCCATGAAATCCACTTCGAAGACTGACTTTTCAACTTATGACATTTTTCACAATTGTTTGCTGTACGACATATCTGCATTTATCTCTGGCCACCAACAAGCGAACCTTACCAAGGACTTCATTTTCTCAACACCTGAATGTCCATTATGAAGATCTTTAAGGACAGATTTACGTAATGAAGGAGTAATAACAACACGATCATTTAGACAAAAGATACCATCAGGAGTAATGGACAACTCATGCCGCTTTGAAAATAGACAGGAAATCTATGTTTCAGATTAGCACTCAAACATCTCCGTATAGCAATGAGTATACATCCAAAGTATCTACGAGTTTCTCCAATAAGATCTGGATGTCTCACCGGTAAAAAGTTTACTAACAGTCTGAAGTATTAACAGGTCTACCTTGTAATGATTGTCGAGAAATGTAGTCAACGTGTTGAATTTGTTTGGCATTCCTGTGCTGAACCGCACAGTCATGGGCGCTCAAAGCATTATTCCATCGTTGAACCATAACAACTGAGGAACGTGACGGATTTTTCAGGGTGATAAATGAATATCAAAGCTTCATGATTAGTGACAATAGTGAATTTCTTTCCAAATAAATATTTATGGAGTCTTCTAACAGGTCAAAACACAGCCAATACTTCTCTCTGAGTTAGTGAATAACCTTGTTTAGGAACAGTAAGTTTACGTGAAACGGAGAACTGGTCGACTTTCCTGCTCCAAAACTGCACCAAAACCCATTGATGATGCGTCAGTGATTAGTACATAATGTACACTAGGAGAGTAAGATAGAAGAACAGAATCACTTTGAAGAAATTTTAGTAAACTTCGTATGCATGACTCTCGTTCCTCACCCCATTTGAAAGGATGGATTTCAAAATATTAAATGAACAATTGACACGACAAGAAAAATTAGGAATAAAACGGGAATAGTATTGAAGAGCACCCGTTAGTGAACGTAGTTCTGTAAGATTTTTCGGAAATGGTGCATTTGTCAGTGCAGCTAATCATCTCATATCTGGTGTAAAACCACTACCATCAACTAGGTATCTATGACATTCGAAACTAGATGCACAAAATGAACACTTATTTGGATTTACCGTAATAAACTTATTGATTAAACGACTCAATAAGGCAATAAGTCTCTGGTAACGAACTACCTTATCAATACCACGAACAATGAGATCATCTTGATAAACTTCAACACACCCAAGATCACTGAACACTTTACTTATAACTCCTTGGAATATGGATGGAGAATAACTTGGACCAAATGAAAGGAAGTTGTATCTGAACAAACCGAAAGAGATGTTAATTTTTGTCAAAATAGATGAAAATTGATCTAAAGGGATTTGAAGATAAGCATCTTTTAGTTCAACTTTCGAGAACACATTAGAATCATGAAGTCTATTTAAAATGTCTTCAGCCTCCACGTCATGCACGTTTGCTTCAACAAACAGGATTTCAGTGTTACTCTATAAACACCATACATTTTAGGGGTTTTGCCATACAACTTTAATGGCGTAACAATAGGACTATCTCATGCTGATGGCTGAATCAGTTCAATCGTAATTTCGCACACAGATGCTTCAATGTCTTGGGTACTGTTTCCCGAAGACCATAGAGAATTATTCATCTTCTAAGAAAGACTGGATCACCCTGTACTTGAAGTTTTATGGGCTGAATTTTCATACCTCCACTGCACTTAGAACACGCAGCTATCAAATCTTTAAGCGAAGCATCAAAAGTTTCTGTAGAAACTGGTAAAGACAATTCCACTTTAGGCCCATTATTTATTTTGAACCCATTATTGGCAGTCCTGTTTCGCCAACTAAACATTCACAAGGCATGTATGAAGAAATACCATCTCTTATTAGCAATTATCGGTATTCTCTTATTAGACAGTCTGTGTCCAGTAGTTCTCAATATTGAGACTTCAGTGGGTCTTACCACAACATTAGGATCTAAAGACTTCAAGTCATGAAATGAATCGAATGATGTATATAATCGCTTTCGAATATGAGCATTACATTTAGAAATGGTGAATAAAGTTAAGTCATCATTAGGAACAGCCTAATTATTGGGATCTAAATTACAAGACTTAGTAATACTTGAAGAAAGGTTAACATTAGTTTTATATACTGACTGAATGTGCCCTATCCTGCGACATTTAAAACATTTAACATTACGAAATGCACATGAATTACGAGAATGAAATTTTCCACAAGATAAGCATTTACCAAACTTTTTATCACCGCTGTTTGTTTTGCAGTTCCTTGTTGAACCACCTTTCATTTTTTCACGAGAATAGGAGTCACTATTCAACGAAGGCAAATTCCATCGACCATGAGATTGTATTTCATCATGACGACTGAGCAAATTCGCAATTTTCATCGATTAAATATCAAGTTCATTCACTGCTTCGTAGTCAATACATGCAATTCTAGTATCTTGAAAGGAATAGCTCGGAGTTCTTAACAGCTCTCTTTCCAAATCTAATATATTAATTCCTGCAATTAATCGACCTCTCAGCTGTATATGGAGTTGATCACCAAAATTGCATTTGGCAGCTTGTCTTTGCAACTGAAGGATGAATTTTCTAACCTTTCAGTTATTCTGACGAATCATGTTATGAATTTTGCTCTCTCACGACATTTAAAACCGGCGCACTTTATATGATTTAATAGTAGCTCTTTAAACGTTGTATAGGGAAGTATGATAGGCTTTTCATGATATGCCAAAGTTTTTAATAAACTGTAGGCTTCTTGACCGATGAATGTAAGAAAGTGTGCCACAATTTTATCACCCTTCACATCTTTCTTGGTCATGCTTCATATCCCAAACCTTTCAAAAGAATCCTCAGAAGCTTCTGAATCCTAATTAATGTCCAACTGTTGCATTGCAGGCTCCATCATGACGCCGTTGTGATATTGAAGAGCATTTGAATTATGGTATAAACTATTAATCTCAGAAACAACACAATTTAATCTAGAAGTATTAGATGAGCACGGACGAATGTATTGCATTCGGAATTCAAAATCAGGCAGTCCTCAATACGAAGGAATAATTGGTTCATACAAACACCACACTAATATTTTCTGTTTTTCTTTCAACTAGAAAGTTACATCTCAAAGGACATAGCAAGCGAGTAGATATGTTTAAAGCGAACAAAAGTACCCTTGGCAAACGTGTTCTCACACCGAGTTATCACTTTTTGGAATCTGTTACCCGAAGCAGTGATATCCGATTGTTCATTTGACTAATTCAAGAGAAAATTGTACGCTCACAGAAGCATACTAGCAAAAGAATAATATAGGCCGAAGGCCTCCCGTCCATATTACATAAATCTGAATCTAGATTTGTTACTCTGGACACTAGTGTTCTGTAAACTGCAGTACCTAAGAAAAGACACTTCTCCCGGTCCGGATATGGTTCATTCTGCTATTCTGAGGGAAGCAGCTTCAATCCTGCAACACCGCTTAGCGTGATGTTTCCATACTCGCTAAGCCGAGGTAAACTACCGGAAATTTGAATGCTGGCTCACATCACCCTGATTTTTAAAGGAGGTCGACGCAGTGAACCCTCAAGCTACCGACCGGTGACCCTTCTCTCCATATCTTCTAAAATTATGGAGTCCCTGATATGCGATGGTATACACGACCACTTATTATCCCTAAAGTTCTTCTCACCTCAACAGCATGGTCTCAGGAAGGGTCACTCTTGTATAACCAACCTGCTGACTGCGGTGGACAGATGGACCAGCATCCTTGATCGTAAGGGGAAGGTTGACACCATTTACCTTGATTTCTAAAAAGATTTTGTTAGGGCCAACCATATGTGCCATATCAATAAGCTTAAGCGATTGGGTATCAAACCACCTCTAATTGACTGGCTCGCTTCATATCTAGAAAACCGACATTTTAAGGTCAGGGTTAACTTCACTTCCTCTTAGGATTTGAAATGTCCTAGTGGGGTCCCCCAGGGCTCAATACTAGGACCTCTTCTCTTCTTGATTAACATGAACGATCTTCCACAATTAGTAATGTCTGACATATTGCTTTTTGTTGATGACGTGAAACTTTGGAGAGAAAAAGATTGGCAACCAAGAGGATACACTGGCACTTCAGGAGGATCTGACTCGACTTAAAAGTTGGGCAGACGACAACGGACTTACCTTCAACACTTCAAATTGTAAAGTAGTCCATCTGCGACATGTTGCACACTATAGTTACAACTAAGGAAACTCCTCTCTAGAAGTATCTTAAATCGAAAAAGGTTTACGAGTGTCGATACCCTACTACTTGAAGTCGTACGCTAACTATGAGAAAAACGCTTTTCAAGCAAACCTAGCACTGGTAACATTTAGGAGCATTCTCGGCCAGTTTGACAATAGAACTTTTCACGTAACCTTCAACAGTTTTATTCGTCCCCATTTAGAGTACGGAAACAGTGTTTCCTCCCTCTCTCCAAAAGGATAAGGACACTCTGGAGCGTATCCAACATCGAGCCACGAAATCAACTCGGGGACTCAAATTCAAACCTTATGAAGAGCGCCTCCAATCACTTAACCTTTAGCCTTTAAAGTATAGGCGTCTTAGAGGTGACCTTCTTATGTCTTACATCATCCTTAACACTTCTGATCATCCCTTTAAACATCTATCTAAGCTTAGTCACAACACTAACCTAAGGGGTAACATCCAGAAACTAGAGACCCAACATAGCAGAACGGACTGTAGATACAACTTGTCAAATGCTGGAATTCATTGCTGACTGGGCTAGTCCAAGCGACTTCTCAGGAGTCCTTTAGGAGGAAACTTGACCTATCCCTTAGGATTAAGGATGACATCTAATTATGATTTACCAATTCCTTTTTTCCTATTATCGTGAATATGCCTACGCTCCTGCGTGGAGGTGTTAGTGATTCACTACTACTAGACATGGAAGCCCGTTCAGCGAAAGCTTCTATTCCGTTCACAACCATTTGTTTCATTTGAACCACTACATAGCGCCGACTATGAAAAGTGAAGGCCACTAGAACTTCACGGTAGGAACTCTCGTGAGTTCTTATTTGATTTCATTCTGGTTAGAGTTAACCCTTAAAGTCTCTATTTATAGTAGCAATTTGTTACGTTTGAGTCGTATTTTCTTCGAGCCCCTACGTTATCTTACTTTTTTGGTGAATGACGTATTTTTCATACATGTACATCATCAGTGATTTGATGAGGAAAAGAGTCATCATTGAAACACTGTTCAAAAACCTCTAATCCCAGTTTTCACCAGGTTCAGGCTAACATAAGTTTTCTTAAATTCATTATCGGAACAGATTTTATGCTGAACTTTAAAAGTTCAACAGTAGTGGTTTTAAACTCTTGCATAATTTGGACCTGTGTTATGTTACTGGTAAGTCAGTCCTTGTGACATTCATCATCATTTTGTTTAGTGGGGATACATGCATGTACCGTAAATTACAACAATGTTTTTGGGTCACTAACTTATATTTCACCGAGTTGCTTCAGTTACTTTTGATTTAAATCCATGAATACCTGTTAGTACAAGCTTTTACTTTTTCGGAATCAAAACTCCTAATTTATTCTTGCAAATAAGGCCTCGCGTTTAAGTAGATCTTCAAGTTATTTATAGACTTAGCAAGGGTAGTATTAGTAAGGGTTCAGCGTAGCAGATCAAGTCTTATTTATTTAATTAAACACATTTGTTTATTCTATTTATTTATTTGAACACATACATATTGATACAAAGGGGCACCAGATACGTATGCGTCACACAAAACAATGAGGATGGAAGCGAAAGGGGCAAGATGCGTATATATAAAGGAAAAAAATAGGATGAGAAAGAGAAGAGTAATTATGGGGGGGAACTGAAATATACGACAAGAAGAGCTCTCTCAGTTAGGAAAGTTATAGCCACTCTTTATGAAGAAAGTAAAAGAAGGTTACATCAGGCTCGCCACTAGCTTTTATTCTGAGCCATATCTGATAGCATCTCTAGCCAGTGTGTTGCACCATCTCTCGGACCCCGACCAGGGAGTCGTGAAGGACCAACAGAACCTAGCCCTTTGCACCTTTCTTTCATGCCACGACACCATGTCATACACTGACCTCCTCTCCGCTTTCTCCAACCAGTCCCAGGGTCGGCAAATAATGCACGACGTGGAAGTTTGTGGGACGACATTCGTAGAACATGTCCAAGTCACCGAAGTCGGTGTTCCAAGATGTTGACACCAATTGAATTATCGTCTTTGCGCCCCAACAGACGATGCCGAACCTCTGCATTACTAACATGGTGTTGCCACTGAATGTCAGCAATTCTTCGGAGACAACGATGATCGAACACAGAGAGTCGTCTAACATCCTCAACTCGGAGAGGCCAGGTTTCACAAGCATAGAGCAAAACTGCTCTCACCGATGCGTTGTAGATCCGACCTTTTACAGCCAGACTAACATCACGAAGGCGCCAAAGATGGCCCAGATTGGCATAAGCCGCTCTGGCTTTCATTATACGTGCATCAATCTCATCACTCACGCCACCACCAGCACTTATGTAGCTACCTAGATACACGAACTTCTCAACTACTTCAATCTGCTCACCATCCAGGGTGAGTACAGGATGAGAATCCTGCCAGTCTTGTAGGAGTACCTTGCACTTGGAGGGTGCAAAGCACATACCGTACCTGCGGACACTGATTGCCAACTGATTAAGTGCGGATTGCATGGCTTGAGCTTTTGTGTAGCGTGATCCGATGAGACCCATATAGTTGTGTGTATGCGTCTGTGTGGGAATATAGTGCCACCTATAACCAATTTGTTGAATGCACATAGATTTGCGAATCTCTCACCATTCTCATTCCCTTCTCCTAGTCAGTCCATGTCATCCCATGATATCTTCATATCCATTTGTGTCCATTCCGACTTCGACGTTTAGGTCTCCCATCAGTATGGTCAGGTCCTTTACTGGGCATTCCGGTTTGATCGACAGAAGCCTCACATAAAAGTGATCTTTTCAACCGGCAGTGACCCTAGAAGGGCTACAGGTGAAATTTGAAATATCATACACTAAATTTCTTCCTACGATGATTTTTAGCGTTAGCAGATAAATTTAAGGAACACCAGGATCACTAGTTATTTTGTTTCAAATGAAGTGTCTTTACATGTCTGTTCAAATTCTGGCTAAACGATAATCTAACTAGTAAATTTCAGTTAGATAATAGATGACAATTGCAGTATATAAGCACTTAAAACAGTATAAAAACATGATAACCTATATATATAACCTTTGGTTTATTAGGTCTATTATCAAAGTATTAAAATTGAAAACAAATTTTAAGCACAATTTATAGACGATACATGAATAAAAAGGTTCTGTTTACTTGCCATAACTACCGTGATATTATAAACTTATTATGAGTATGTAGATGATAACTTATGTGTAAGATTAAAGATTGTTACATATAGATTGATTATTTTGAGGATAGGACCCTACATATGTTCACTATTAAATTATTGACAATGTAATGTTTACTTCGTGAATAAATAATTAATGTTTTTACCACAAAATATAATCATCCACCTATGGCTTGTGAAATTTGATAATTTACTTAACAGACACCGTTCATTAATTCAGTCGTTATATAGAAACCAATTTAATTAGAAGAGATTTCTGAACATAGGCAAACAACGGTTGGATAACTATGAAATTACAGGGTAAAGTGGAAAGTTGTTTTGTTTTACCTTGAAACTCCCTAGTGTCAACCCCCAATGACCCTTCCATGGGTCAAACCTAGTGTCCTAATATATAGCAACGAGAGCGTCACTTTGATAATAAGCTGCAATCTAGTGATTTATATTTCAACTTTCAATCGGGTGTCGGCATGAAGTGACCGTCATTTGGTGCCACTGATGATAACTAATTCAGTATGTAGATATCTAAACCTTACTGGTCACAATTTCTCACTGCAACTTTGTTAATCCATTTCTTTACAATAAACTGATCGGAACTATCCACTGAATTAATTTAAAGTTGTTTGTATATTTACTCAAATAGGATTTGATCTTTGAAATTTCACTAGCTGTATATATACGTGGGATGAGAGCACAACAAATATGTAGACGAATTTAAAATTGTTTATTCAATGTTTGGTAAAACTGTATGAAGAACGACTTATATACTGGGTAGTCAAATGGCTAATAATACGTCTTTGATAGAATATCGACCCTTAGGATATTATACGTAATATAGTATTTCAACTATATTAGGTGAAACATTTAATCTCGGGTTTTAATTCATTAAGTCTTACACCCTTGCATTAATTAGTTCGTTCTACTCATATTGAGCGTGACACAAACTAGAAATTAAACCTCTCTGAATGATTTTTGTGTAATACAGTAAACACTTTAGTATTAAATATCTGAATGCAAACGTCGTAAAATTGGGTGGTGATCTGAAGCAATGTCAGCTCTCCTCCTGGTTCTCATGTCTTCTATTGACCTTTTTAATTTTTTACTGATGCAAATATGATCGATCTGCTTCTATGTAGCGTGATCCGATAAGACCCATGTAGTTGTTTGTATGCGTTTGTGTGGGAATATAGTGCCACCTATAACCAATTTGTTGAATGCACATAGATTTGCGAATCTCTCACCATTCTCATTCCCTTCTCCTAGTCAGTCCATGTCATCCCATGATATCTTCATATCCATTTGTGTCCATTCCGACTTCGACGTTTAGGTCTCCCATCAGTATGGTCAGGACCTTTCCTGAGCACTTCGATATAATCAGTTGCAGCTTCTCGTAAAACTGATCTTTATCGTTGTCATTCTGCCTATATAGGGTGCATAACATTGTATAACCTTCATTATGGTTCCCTCCTTTGTTTTGAAGGATTCTTTGATGTTTATGGATCCATGAGATTCCTATACCAGAAGTGCTTTTCGTGCTTCTCTGGATAACATCGGAGCTCTGATGCTGTAACCATTTCTAACTTCTTTAGTGCGTGAAGACGCGGTATTTTTGGAGATGCTAGTGATCCTTAGAAAATACCGTACCAATGTGATTACTCGACAGTTAACAGGCCCAATGATTCCTCAGACATATTTGCTGTCTTTATTCTTACCACTGTCGAAATGATAAACCTGGTAGTCTAGGATTTCAAGAAACAAGTGTTTTACTCAATATAGCCTGAATGAATCATTACGATAGCCAAGTAAGACAACTGTATTAAGATATTAGCTACAATCAAAAACAATTATATCGTCTTTAATTATTGAATTTCTACAAGATACACTAAGTAACAGTGTGGTATTGAGTAATTCAGTTATCTACAAGCATATACACTAAAGTGAAATTAAGACTGATTAAATGGGAAAGAAAAGTAATTGTTAAGACCAGAAATATTTTAATGAATAACCAGTTGCTCACTTCATGGGTGTTGGGGTCTTCAACAATACAACCGAACTTCATAGATTGTTGACGTGTCGCCTATTTAAGAACAATAAATTACGAAATTTTTAGAAAGTTCACGATGCTCATGAAAATAATCTATCAAAATTCAAGAGAATAGATCAATACAACTTCAGTGAACCGATTAGGGACCGTCACCTCAGATTACCATAGCCGGTTGTATTTGTCAGATTTCGGTGCATTAGTTTTTGTTTAAATTCCCATACAATTTGGAGTTTGAAACCATTCTCGAGGATAACAGATTTTCTGTAGTCACTCCTGTTAAGTGTAACCAGGTAACAATATCAACAAACTACAGGTATATTGAATAAGGATAGTAAGGCGATGTAGCCTTCTAAAAACGTTGAGTGGTTACCGCATATTGTCCTTACATAGTCAGTGTAAAATAACTTTACAGAACTCCTACTTATCCTAATAAGTGAATTTAAGTCATTCAAATGAATCGAAAAGTACAACCAGTCTTAGAGGATCCCACACACTACTTTTCTGTTGTACTCTTTGGTATTGCAAGGTTCAAGTATGTCCTATCCACAAAGTCAAACGCTTTCTCCTAATGAAGGAAGCTCTTGCATAGTGATGAATCCCATTAACTTGACTGCTCAACAATGATCCGTAATGTCACGATTCGGTCTGTACATGACTGGTTCTTACGGAATTCATCCTGTTGATCTAGACGGGTGTATAAATTACTGTTGATTCTTCTGTGATGTTTCATTGTGTTCTGAACTAAAACCATGATGTTTATTTTAACTGACATAAATAGATCTTGTGTACGTGTTTTTTCAGATGTTTTATTTGATTATTATTATTATTATTATTATTATTATTATTATTATTTAAACACATAAATATTGTTAAAATGAAGCACCAGATAAATATGCGCCGCACAAATCACATTTGATTTCTGTGAGGGCTGTGATACTGCCCAGATGCTCAGACTGAAGCAGGTGGTTTTCGTAGGGTGCCACACCCGGAGCCTTTGACCTAAATATCTGATCCACAAGGCAGTGGAGCATCGTACGGATATGCCGTCCCACGGTAGCCGTTGACCAACGATTGATTCATACGCCATTTGTTCCTTCACGATACTGGAGCCCATGTGCACCATTGGTTTGGAATCAGGGTTTTGCAACTCCCCTAGGTGGACTTTCCGTGTCCACCAACCCAGTTAAAGCGCTGCACATTCGCTTTTCGTCCTCTCAATTTCTTAAACAACACCGGTGCCACGAGAAGGCAGTGAGTCGGACTTCCCTGGCAGTGGTTGTATGCACGTGGCCATGTAAGAGTATTTCGAGAGGGAGAGCGGACTCTTCACTCTCGTACGTACGAGGACATTTGGGGGTCACAATTATATAATACCCTTATGAGCCAGGGTAATCTTGCACTGGTTTTCAAGAGAACCAGACACCATCCAGACTTTCACGCGGCAACCTAAACAGTACAGCCCGATCCCGTTTAACAGGGGAGCCAGACACTGTCTAGGATAAACCCAAGCAGTACAGCTCAATCTCGCCCTATATGAGAACCAGACACTATACAGGCTTCAACGCTACAATCCGAACAGTCAGTCCGTCAGTCAGCGACAGCTTAGGACCAGGCACATATATGCATCGGTCCAGGTTGCCATACCTCGTTAGCACAAAAAGTTCAACACCGGATTCATAGAAGTAATTAATTTAGTGGTGGTAGTATATAAAGAAAAGTTGTATATATATAGTATAGGAAGGAAGAAAGTTATGCAGCAATTTTAATCTCAAGGTTTAAGGGAAGACAAAGAGTGTATATACCAACTATGCCATTTTGATCGATGCTGAGCCTGTCACCCAGAGTCTCCAACCATTTATTACGATAGTCACGCGGACCCCAACCAAGTAGTCTGCATCTACCAACATGGCTCACACTTGAAGTTAGTGACTTCAAGCACTGATGCCACGTTTTAGTTTGGCCGCCCCTAACTGTTTTCCAACCATCCCCAATACTAGTCAGCATAGAGCGTCGTGGTAATCGGTGTTCAGGCATACGTAACACGTGACCCAACCATCTCAGTCGATGAAGATTCATCACCTCCTCAACTGATTTACCATCATTCCCTAATACCCTGCGTCTAACCTCACTATTACTTACCCGGTTATCCCAGCAGATGCGAGCAATATTTCTAAGGCATCTGCCCCCAAATGCCCTGGTACAGCCGAGAGTGGGGAGAGTCTACTCTCCCTCTCGAAATACTCTCACATTGCCAGCGAATATATAGCCTCTGCCAGGGAAGTCCTACTCACTGCGTTCTCGTGGCGGGAGTGTTGTTCACAAAAGTGAGAAGGACGAAAAGCGAATGTCCGGCGCTCTAACCGGGTTGGTGGATGTGGAGGATCCACCTAGGGGAGTTGGAAAACCCTAATTCCAAACCAATGGTGCACATGGGCTCTAGTATCCTGATGGAACGAATGGCGGACGAACCTGTCATTGGTCACCGGCTACCATGGGACTGCATCTCCTCACGATGCTCCACTGCCTTGTGGATCAGACCTTTTGGTCAAAGGCTCGGGATGTGGCCCCCTAAGAAAACCACCTGCTTCGGTTTGGGCACCCGGGCAGTATCACAGCCCACACACAAATAAATGAAATGATGAATTCTATTGACGATACTATTCCTGCTCATACTAGAAGCAAGACAATTTACATTATTATTATTATTACCTTTATTATTATTATTATTATTATTATTATTATTATTATTATTATTATTATTATTATTATTTACCATATCGCTAACTCACTACCTTTTATCCCCAATTTGTGTAACTTTACTTTTCATCTTATGCAGCAGCTCGCCCATGGTGGAGAATCTGTTCTACCTAAACGATCTCCAGTCAGTCTGGTTGAAAGTGAATGCTTCCACCGATTATGAATACTGAGGCAGTCTTTCTGAAACCACGTACGCCGTTCAAGCTGGCTTCCTTCAACGTTCGCACACTAATGCATATCAGACAACAGATAGGGCTGGCTATGTCTTTGGAAGGTCTTAATGTTGATGTTTGTTGTCTATCCGAGACCCGTATTCAAGACTCTAGTGAAGTACTACAAATCCGCTCTCCATCTGTCGCCTCGAAAAGCTTGTTCCACGTCCGCTTATCCGGGGACCCTGTGGCATCTTCGTCTGGTCTTGCTGGCGTTGGTGTCGCACTAAGCGCTAGAGCTGAGGTAGCACTAACAGTCGGTTATGTGCTGTTAGATTAGAAAGTTCCATCAAAGTGAGAAGAAATCGGCGTGAGAAACGGTGTCTTTTTGTCATCTCCGCCTATGCCCCGACAGATTGCATCCGGGCAATCAAGGATGAGTTTTACCATCAGTTAACAGTTCTTCTCCAGAAAGCGCGTGCGACAGATATTGTAGTGCTAGCCGGATACTTGAATGCACAGGTCGGGCGTCTAGGCACAGAAGAGAGTCGTTTAGGTGGCCGATGGGGACTTGTTGGTCGCAGGACAGATAACGGGGACCGTTTGCTGCAACTGTGCACAGAATACAACCTGTTTCTGGCCAGCACTAACTTCTGACACAGTCATCGCCGGTGTGCCACCTGGCGTCCTCCCTCTGCATCCCAAGCCTGGACTCAGATTGATCACATCGCGATCAGCTACCGCTGGCGTGGTTGTGTACAAGACTGCCGCTCCTTTTGGAGTACCTATCTGGAGTCTGATCATGCCCTGGTCTGCGCCAATCTCACCTTACTTTTCAGTGGCCGAAGGATTGACCACCATCAACGGATTGATGTTAGTAAACTGGCTGCAACTTCTGTTGCAAGTAAGTATCGAGCGGAGCTAGCCTCTAGGCTAGCTACCACCCCACCGAAAAGTATAGATGAGCATTGGTTGCATCTTCACGATGCCATGAAAATGGCAAGTAAAGCCGCTTGCGGCTTCGCGAAACGTCCCGCTTACAAGCACTGGGTTTCTTCTGGCTCCTTACAACTGATCGAAGCCCGTCGGTCTACTCCGGGTGACCGTGAGTTTGACCACAAACGAAGGCTGTTACGTAATGAAATCGGGCAAAGCTTGCGTAAGGACCGAGAAGCCTGGTGGTCGGAGCGTGCTAATGAGATGGAAGCAGCAGCTGCATCTGGTAACTGCCGGAAGCTCTTCCAACTCATCCGAGCCACTGGCAGCAAGAAGTCTGGTGTGAGTGAAACAATCTACGAGGATGACGGGATGCCAATCACTAACATCTCTCGACGTCTTGGACGATGGGCGGAATTCTTCGAAGGGCAGTTCAACTGGCCTGCTGCTCCAGCAACATCAACCAGTTTGTCCTGCCCCTCATGGCCAGGGACGACTGATCCACCAAACGAGGCGGAAGTCCGCTAGGAACTCCAACTCTTGAAGCGCTACAAATCACCTGGCCCAGATGGCTTACCTCCGGCTCTTTTTAAAGATGGTGGTTACCTTCTGGCTAAGGAACTGACGGTGTTGTTTTCAAAGGTTTGGGAGCAAGAAAGTGTTCCAACATCATGGAATGAGTCGATAGTCGTCCCTATCTTTAAAAAGGGTTCACGTTGTTCCTGCAATAACTATCGGGGGATAAGTCTACTTTCGATTGCGTCCAAACTATTGGCTTCTATCATTCTTCGTAGGTTGTTTAAAACCCGAGAACGATAGACTCGCGAGGAGCAGGCTGGTTTTCGTTCTGGTCGAGGATGCATTGACCACATCTTCACCCCCCGCCAAATGTTAGAACACTGTCATACTTATCGCAGGTCAACAATCGTAGTGTTTCTTGATATCAGAGCTGCCTTCGATTCGTTGGACAGGACTGTTCTCTGGGATTGTCTATTGAAGAAGGGTGTGCCTGAGAAGTTCATTAACATCTTAAAGGCCCTGTATACGAACACCTCAGGCAGAGTGAGGGCATACAACCACCTTTCTCCCTTGTTCCATTCGAGCAGTGGGGTTAGGCAGGGTTGCCCGATCTCACCATTCCTCTTCAACTTTGCTATCGACGACATCCTGGAAACAGCTCTGATGGATGTAAGTAATGGCGGTGTGGATATGTTGCCTGGAGAACGACTTCTCGACCTTGAGTATGTGGATGATATTGTCTTACTGTGCGATAATACCCAAGGCATTCAATCCGCACTTAATCAGTTGGCAATCAGTGTCCGCAGGTACGGTATGTGCTTTGTACCCTCCAAGTGCAAGGTACTCCTACAAGACTGGCAGGATTCTCATCCTGTACTCACCCTGGATGGTGAGCAGATTGAAGTAGTTGAGAAGTTCGTGTATCTAGGTAGCTACATAAGTGCTGGTGGTGGCGTGAGTGATGAGATTGATGCACGTATAATGAAAGCCAGAGCGGCTTATGCCAATCTGGGCCATCTTTGGCGCCTTCGTGATGTTAGTCTGGCTGTAAAAGGTCGGATCTACAACGCATCGGTGAGAGCAGTTTTGCTCTATGCTTGTGAAACCTGGCCTCTCCGAGTTGAGGATGTTAGACGACTCTCTGTGTTCGATCATCGTTGTCTCCGAAGAATTGCTGACATTCAGTGGCAACACCATGTTAGTAATGCAGAGGTTCGGCATCGTCTGTTGGGGCGCAAAGACGATAATTCAATTGGTGTCAACATCTTGGAACACCGACTTCGGTGACTTGGACATGTTCTACGAATGTCGTCCCACAAACTTCCACGTCGTGCATTATTTGCCGACCCTGGGACTGGTTGGAGAAAGCGGAGAGGAGGTCAGTGTATGACATGGTGTCGTGGCATGAAAGAAAGGTGCAAAGGGCTAGGTTCTGTTGGTCCTTCACGACTCCCTAGTCGGGGTCCGAGAGATGGTGCAACACACTGGCTAGAGATGCTATCAGATATGGCTCAGAATAAAAGCTAGTGGCGAGCCTGATGTAACCTTCTTTTACTTTCTTCATAAAGAGTGTTTATAACTTTCTTAACTGAAAGAGTCTTCTGGTTGTACATTTCAGTCCGCCTTATCTTTTCATCCCTTCACTTCCTACTTTCATTATTTTGTGTGGCGCATATGTACCTGGTGCCCTTTTGTACCAATATTTATGTGTTTAAATATAATAAAATAAAATAAATGTGGTCAAATACTAGTAACCTACAAGTATCTTCTACCCTTAATGACCATGTTTCACAGCCGTAAAGTAGAACAGAACGAACTGCTGCGCAGTATACTCGTCCCTTAATTGATAGACGGATATCTCGTCTTCGCCATAGGTGACGTAAGTTGGCAAAAGCCAAACGAGCTTTTTGAATCCGTGCTGAGATTTCGTCAGACACCAACCCATTAGGGCTGATCAGACTTCCAAGATAAGTGAAGTTGTCCACGCGTTCGACTACTTCACTCCCTATCCTTAGTTCAAGTGTTGACGCAGGCCAGTCCTGGAGCAACAATTTACATTTGGATGGGGAGAAACGCATCCCAAACATCCTGGCATTATTACTCAGTTCCAACAGAAGACTCTGCATTTAGTCAGCGTATTCACCAAACAGGACTATGTGATCTGCGTATTCTAAGTCGATAAGTGAACCTCCTGGTAGAAGATCAATTCCTGAAAATTCAGGAGACGAAAGTGTTATTTCCAGCAACAGGATGGGGAGAAACGCATCCCAAACATCCGAACATACAGCCCAATCCTGTTGCGCAACTACTCAGGTACCAAACACCCTGGTGGACCAGTTTTGTTTGATACATTAAATTTTCATTCATTTACTGTACGACTCTTTCCATTTCGATTTTACACATTTAGTATCGTTCCGTTTTGCATGGATTATTTTTGTAGCCGACTGTTTGACAAATTTTTTACTTATTAGTGGATACAAATTTCAACATAACTAGATGAGCGAATTATAAATGAACAATTCCTAAAGTAGAACCCTATTCATTTGAGTAATCATATCAACAAAAAATCCAAACTACATTTAGTCGGTAATTAGTGTCTTTTAGCTGGGCATGTAAATTGTATCTTTAAAGTGCAATTTCCTTCATGAAGATTTGCGTAAGGTTGTTCCTGCACTCTTAGTTTTTGCTTACTCTCTAGAACTGATTAAAATGTTCGTGTGTTTGAGCAGTGGCAGAAGTCTAATAATGTCATGACAGATAAAAGCAATCTATTCGTCGTGAAATCTAGAGTGATCTATGCAAATGGTGGCGTCGTGGTATAGAAGATAACTGTTTAGAACTGGCATCTTTTAGTCCATCATGACTCTCAAATTGTTGTCCTAGAAGTCAGAATATAAGACTGGTTATGTTCCTGTTGTTTTCTTCTGTATTCTTCTGAAGAGAACCGCCATGAATATCTCTGTTAACCGTAAATCACACGAATCTTTTTCAGTTTTTACCTCTCAATGTACTGCTATGTCAGTTTTTATTTATATCCTAATGTTATCTTTCACATGGGTGACGTGATTTTGGCACTTATTGAGTCAGAAAACAATCAATTAATTACATGTCTTCAACTAAATGTTCTCTTTTTTATCTTAAAAGTATTTCCAATACGAACTTTTTCTATCCGCCTAATCTAAAAACATATCTGGCCAAAAGAATGGATCATGCCCACGGCTCTCATCATTCACCGGCTGATGCTAGTATGCAGTCGAGTGATCATTCCATGGATATGAAAGTATGACTCATTTCTGTCATAAAAATTATTTATAGATGTATTTCAATACTGATATGCATTATACATTGCTTTTTTCATTCTGGATTATTGATACAGTTGGAAGTAAATGTTTTTCTTAAAACCATACTCTTAACTTATAGAAGCGATCGTAGCATGTCTTGGCTCTTTCATATTCGCTATCATATATGAAGCCCTAGAAGTAAGTTGTTATTTTGTTTATGTGCTGAGATCTGTTAATTTGACCTATCTCTCAAAAGAACAGTTATTAGTCTTATTGTGATGGAGTTATGGTATTCATCTCTTTAACTTAATTAGTAGATATTGCTTGCCCAAGATCCATGTAGGTTGTTCCTTAAAGTCACATTATGCTATAATTAATTGTTTACAACACACAAAGCTGTTAGAGGTGTTCTTGAGTGCTGTTAGAAGTATGAGGGTGGTTATAACTTTCCGGTCGCCCACACCATGGGAGGGTTCTTCTAGAGGTACCTGAAAAAGAAATTGGGTTAGAGTTGGTCTTAGTGACCTGAGAGCGTGACCGCAGTGCCCAAGCGACAACTGTTTGAGGTCGGTCACACACGAACTTTTTGTGGGTGGTTTTTGTGTTAGCTGCTTACTTGTTGGGACCTTACCGCCACAGACGGATATCCGTGGGATAAGGCGAGGTGTGCATTTTTAGGGTCGACCTTTTCTAACCCCACCCCTCCTTGTAGGAAGGCAGCATCGCTGTTATGCTGGTTGTCTGAAGGAAACGTCTTACTTTCGTCACACTGCGGTACAGTCGGCAGTACGACTTCACCCTCGGACCTTGGGTTTTCTACTTTTAGTCTGACCGCGCTTCAACCGACCTGTCTGGCATGGTAGGACCTTGAGGGACGATTGTTCCAGCCAGTGTAGCTCGATTGGTTCACCACGATAGGTAAACTCTACCACCACATCAAGTTAACAGCAACGGTCGGACACAAAGCTCAGTGTACGAGATGTTACAATTGTGCTTGATGAACTGGAATAGCGGTTTTGTGAAGTATTGAGTTAGGGAAGAATATTTTGTAATAATATACATTTCAAATGAGAAACTAACAAAAGATTTGTTCCTGACAGTAGAACATTTTAATAAAAAAGAATCACATTGGGATAATTACTAGTTCATACGCGGAAATATGTCTAGTAACATCTTAACCCACTGACTCCATATGCGAAGCCGTTTCAGGAAAACTGATGCTACTTCAATACAACTGTTCTTTATTTCATAGCAACATATATTATACTAGCCATCTCGTCTTCTTCACTTATAGCTGGTATCAATAAGTAATAAGCTGTGTGAAGGTCATTGAAAAGCTCACATTTATAAAGCTAATAAATGTCACTGACTGAACAATGATTTTTACTATTCCTAACCAGAAGTCGCGCCTCAGCACTTACTTACGTCTGTTACCGTTAATTGAGGAGCATAAACTCACTACCAGCTTCTCCATCTAACTCTGTCCTGGTCAATCCTTCCCAGTTGCTATTCATCATTTTGATGTCTGCTTCCAATTCCCGACGCAGTGTGTTCCTTAGTCTTCCTGTTTTCCGTTTTCCTTCAGGATTCCAAGTTAGCGCTTGCTTCGTGATGCAGTTTGATTATTTCCGTGATGCATGTTCTATCCACTCCTAATGTCTTTTCCTTATTTCCTCTTCATCTGGAAGTTAGTTTGTTATCTCCCACAGTGGATCGTTGCTGATGGTATCCGATCAACGGACATGGAGTATCTTGCATAGACAATTGTTCATAAATACTTGTACTTTTTTTATCATAGTTAAAGTAGTTCCCCAAGTTTCGGCTCCATGCAGTAGAACTATCTTGACTTTCGTATTGAAGATTGTGACTTTGATTTTGGTTGACAATTGTTATTTATTTAAACACATAAATATTGGTACAAGGGGAAACCCGATATATATCTGCCGCACAAATCTCATTTGATTTGTGTGAGGGCTGTGATACTGCCCAGATGCTCAGACTGAAGCAGGTGGTTTTCGTAGGGTGCCACACCCGGAGCCTTTGACCTAAAGGTCTAGTCCACAAGGCAGTGGAGCATCGTACGGATATGCCGTCCCACGGTAGCCGTTGACCAACGATTGATTCATACGCCATTTGTTCCTTCACGATACTGGAGCCCATGTGCACCATTGGTTTGGAATCAGGGTTTTGCAACTCCCCTAGGTGGACTTTCCGTGTCCACCAACCCAGTTAAAGCGCTGCACATTCGCTTTTCGTCCTCTCAATTTCTTAAACAACACCGGTGCCACGAGAAGGCAGTGAGTCGGACTTCCCTGGCAGTGGTTGTATGCACGTGGCCATGTAAGAGTATTTCGAGAGGGAGAGCGGATTCTCCCCACTCTCGGCCGTACCAGGGCATTTGGGTCCATATGTTCTCCAGTGGTAGAAATGCCATCCTTGCTTTGCACATCCCATCGAAAACAACCTTGCGAAGAATAAAGCTAACCCCAGCTCTTGATCAAGACAAAATTTGTGGTTGACAGCATCTTAGTCGAAATGTGTCAGCGCATAATCAACGGTGATAAAAAACAGCGTTTCCGTCGTCAGTTATTCCCGCGTTCACTGTACAGCCTAATGAATAAATGTCTTATAAGTTAATTAGTAGTTTTTTGTCTTCAGCTTCTTGTGCGAGGTATGTGTAGTGTAATGAACGTTATTGAAATAGTGAGTTTGGAAGAAGATATGTTAAATTTGGAATCAGCAGTTAATCGTCAGTACTTTACTCAGATCTTGGATACCGGTCTCTGAGATATAGGAGACATCATTTGCAAGAATGCAGACTCAATCTTTTATTCGATATGCATGAAGGTCCAAACGATGAAGATCATTGGTTTAAATTGTACATATAACCTACGAATAGCTTCAGATATCTCATCGAGCTATATCTCTGATAAATCTGCCGTTCAACTGCTAAATATATGTGTTAACTCCCGACGAAGACCGTTTGTTGATTAAAATTGAGGTTGAAGTCTAAATGAAAAAAATATGAATCAGTTAAAAGTTTAATAACCCAACAGAAATGATCAGTCAGTCAGTCACAACGTAGAACTTCGTACGTACGTACATCAGTTCGAGTTGCCATACCACATTAGCACAGAGATGCAGTTGTCGATCCAAATCCCATAGTGGTAGAAGTAGTAAGAGTATAAGCATTACGTGAAAGATTAGGGTTTGAAGATGTTATTAAGGGAATATAATCCATTGAAATAAATTTGGAAAGAGTAAAAAAGATAGTGATATGAAGAATTCAGAAGATTAGAATTTGGTAGAACACAAAGAGTGGATGCACCTTAGCCATTGCAAACGATTTTGAGCCATGTCATTTAAGGTCCCTAACCATCGATTGCTATCATTTCGCGAATCTCAACCAGGTGGTCTACACCTACCAACATGGCTCAGTCCACTTGTCAGTGACTTCATGGATTTATGCCATGTTTTGGTCTGACCGCTCCTAGCTTTCTTCCAACCTACTCCTACACCATGAAACATTGCACTAACATAAAAGATAAAAAAACAAACAATTTTTTGATTGCGGCATAAATAAAGTGTGAATATCTGTTTGTAGAGAGAGCGACGGGATCGGATAATACTAGTTCCAAAATATGCTTCAGCCATTTCTCTTGATGATAGACAAGGGAAAGATTGACAGTGATGAAGAGCGAAAATATGTTTGATTGTAGGCAGATATTGCTGAACGCGAGACTTCTAAAATTGTTTTCTATAGCAGAAGTATTTCACGTTGGTCATAGCGTGATCTGATGGATTGGCTCCAGAGGTCTTTAAATATGGTGGTCCAATTTTAGCGATTTGGTTGACTAATATTCTGGCTAAAATCTGGGAGACGGACGTAATCCCATCCGACTGGTCACAATCACTGATTGTCCCAATATATAAAAAGGGGTCAAAATCATCCTGCGATAACCAGAGAGGGATTAGTTTGACTAACATAGTATCTAAAATACTAGTCTCAATAATTATCAGGCGCCTAACTAAGACTCGTGAACTGCAAACACGAGAAAATCAGGCTGGCTTCAGACCTGGTCGTGGCTGTATCGACCACATATTCACCATTCGTCAAGTTTTAGAGCACAGACACGCTTATCGGCGTCCGACAATGATAGTTTTCCTTGACTTGAAAGCAGCATTTGACTCTGTAGACCGAGAGGTTCTGTGGCAGTGTCTGTGATTGAAAGGTGTACCTGAGAAGTACATAAACCTTGTGAAGGCTCTTTACTCGAACACTACCAGTCGAGTGAGAGCTTATGGCGAACTGTCATCTGATTTTGAAACCTAAAGTGGTATCCGTCATGGCTGTTCACTATCCCCATTTTTGTTTAACTTCATTATAGACCTGTTGCTGGAAATAACACTCTCGTCTCCTGAATTTTCAGGAATTGATCTTCTACCAGGAGGTTCACTTATCGACTTAGAATACGCAGATCACATAGTCCTGTTTGGTGAATACGCTGACTAAATGCAGAGTCTTCTGTTGGAACTGAGTAATAATGCCAGGATGTTTGGGATGCGTTTCTCCCCATCCAAATGTAAATTGTTGCTCCAGGACTGGCCTGCGTCAACACTTGAACTAAGGATAGGGAGTGAAGTAGTCGAACGCGTGGACAACTTCACTTATCTTGGAAGTCTGATCAGCCCTAATGGGTTGGTGTCTGACGAAATCTCAGCACGGATTCAAAAAGCTCGTTTGGCTTTTGCCAACTTACGTCACCTATGGCGAAGACGAGATATCCGTCTATCAATTAAGGGACGAGTATACTGCGCAGCAGTTCGTTCTGTTCTACTTTACGGCTGTGAAACATGGTCATTAAGGGTAGAAGATACTTGTAGGTTACTAGTATTTGACCACAGATGCCTTAGAAATATTGCTCGCATCTGCTGGGATAACCGGGTAAGTAATAGTGAGGTTAGACGCAGGGTATTAGGGAATGATGGTAAATCAGTTGAGGAGGTGATGAATCTTCATCGACTGAGATGGTTGGGTCACGTGTTACGTATGCCTGAACACCGATTACCACGACGCTCTATGCTGACTAGTATTGGGGATGGTTGGAAAACAGTTAGGGGCGGCCAAACTAAAACGTGGCATCAGTGCTTGAAGTCACTAACTTCAAGTGTGAGCCATGTTGGTAGATGCAGACTACTTGGTTGGGGTCCGCGTGACTATCGTAATAAATGGTTGGAGACTCTGGGTGACAGGCTCAGCATCGATCAAAATGGCATAGTTGGTATATACACTCTTTGTCTTCCCTTAAACCTTGAGATTAAAATTGCTGCATAACTTTCTTCCTTCCTATACTTTATCCTTATATTCAACCTATAATTCATATACTACTGTTAGTGGGATTTAGATTGGATTAAGCATGTTTTATGCATGATGGTGTTGCTGCGCGCTGATTGGTTAATTTTGAAACCGATCAGTCCGGGCATATTATTGCAGAAAAATATATATAAGCTTCTTATGTATATACTATAAATATATGAACATTATTTAAACTATTGATTGCTGTTCACTTATCATTATTATTTTCAATACAATTTCATTCCTGTTCAACGTGTTCTGATTTTGGGGTCTTGTCGAGTGTCATCGTATAAGAATGCTAAGCAATAGGAATAGCTGGGTCGTTTATATAGGAAAACACAATTATAACAACTACCACCTCCACTAAATTAACTACTATGAATCCGGTGTTGATCTTGTTGTGCTAACGAGGTATGGCAACTTAGACCGATGCATAAATGTGCCTGGTCCTACGTTGTAGCTGACTAACTGACTGATAGTGTGATCTGCTGGTGATGCTTGATCGGACGCCTTAAACCTTTCATGTTCATCCAAACCAACAAGGTCAACACCAATATTATACGTTTACAAAATTATTTATCACCTACGTCTGTTACCCCTCACGTTTTTCTCAGTCTTCGATGAGGGATATAGATCATGAAGTAATGAAAACCTGAATATATACTCAGCATGTCCTCTTTTCAAAGACACAGTTGAAGTAAAAAGTACTTGTGTTATCAAATTCAGATAATGCATCTGTCTGTAGATTGAATGTTCGAGAAAATCAGATGTCATTAACTTAGCTCTTTGAGAAAATGGGGTTATATTATCAAGAAGTTCAAGTGTATTCGTGCATTATAGTTGTTTTCTCTTTCTATCTTACCGTATAGCCGATTTATTCTTTTAAAGTACCTTTAACTATATATTTTATTTCGCTCTTCTTTCCTCATTGATTTCTGGTATTGTTCTCTCTATCTTTTGAATGTTCTGGTGATTTGAATCACCCCATCATTTTTATTGATCTTTTGACTGTTTGATGATAAGCTTCATCATCTTATAAATTTTCTAACCTGAAAGTTTGAAGGGAACCCCATTCATCCAACTATTTGCCAAAGTTGAAATCATGAGTCAATTGAAGCTAGACCACCATCGAAAACCTGGAAGCACTGGACGGCCGTTTCGTCCTATTATGGGACTCCTCAGCAGTGCGCATCCACGAACCCGCTCTCGCGAGATTCGAACCCAGGACCTACCAGTCACGAGCCGAAGCCCTTAATTTGCATTGTCTGAAGAATAGTTCACAAATTGTACTTACAAAATGATACTGTCTTCATTGCTTATTAACTAATAGTTAAATCGGTAACTGAAATCATTTCCATATACTTGACTTACAGACCTTTGTATTAGTATTATCGATACTATTTGTTTATCTAAATTATAGTAAGTCGAGTTGAACTCGAAAGTTTCTACCATATAACTCAAAGTTTAGCGCTGTCAATTTGCGAGTTACTCTTTCAATTTTTCAAATGTACTAATGGCATGTATGTTTTGTGATAGTTAAATAGTTCAAAATAAAAATGTCAGAAAATCCATTTTGAAACACTTGCATTTAAGCAACAGTATTGTACTACTAATAATAAATAATCAAAATTTATTATGAAATTAAATAGTAGATACAAAGTGGATTATAGTTTTGATAAGAACATATCGATTTTTTGTCCTTGCAAGTGTCACACGTTCCGTGAATGTTTAATTTCAAATATCTATTTCTAAAAATAAATATTCTGATTGAAATTTTCTTAAAACAGTAGTTAACATCTGATAGAATTTTCTATTTATGATTTTGTTCAATCTGTATTTTTATACCTTCCTTGTGTTAACACTTTTCCCCTCAAATGATATCAAATATTCTTTAAATCACAGACATTACGACATAAATTGCTTTTACGGGCAGCATGTAACAATCAGTGTGAACGTGCTGGAAATTCCTACGGTGGTCCGTCATGTCCAGGTTGTCCAAATCCATCAGATTCAAATTCCAACAAAAGATATCTTAATCCAGTTGAATCAAATGAAGAAGTTCGTGTTAACGTTTATTCGAATTCTTATCGTGAAAAACTTCGCTCGTAAGTATCGTTTTACGAAATGCGTCTATAATTTTTTTCCTCAATAAGACAGTAACACTATTAAATAATTAATGTATTTTAAGTATCATTTGATCTCTGATATGTAAGAACAATAATGTTTAGAGAATATGATGAATTTATTCTAACTTATTCCTTTTCCTTACAGATATTTCTAAAATTTGTTTTTTAATCTTGTTGAGTATTTAGTTTGATATTTGACTAATACTCCAAAACCATTGCTTCTGGTGCATCGGTAATTATTCAAATGACATTGGTTACAAGTAAGTTTTTTATTATTGGCTCCTAAAACACAGCGGCCTGCCTGAATACTTGGACTACCTGTTCCTATCATTTAGATATTTCGAAAAGTTATCTTTTTTGTTTTGTTTTAACACATTACTATGTCTATTAATCGCATAACCTATTCAGGCGCGTATATGAAAAGTTTACTAGCCATTGTTCTACAAAGTACAAAAAATTACAATTAGAGACAACGCAGTGGTTGGCAATATGCATTAAAAAGAATGAACATTAATCAGATGTCGATTCCTGAACTGCTGAATTCTTACTGCCGATCATTAGTTGGCAAAGTGAACTATCTTCGATTCCCACTAAGTTTAAACATGTATCGTAAGTGTGGTGTAATCACAGTTCAAGAATCACGGTTAAATGTCTTAAAAAAATGATTGCTTAGTATCACTACAAGATTTCAAGGTGTTACGGTGTCGTAGCTACATTTATAAATGTGAACTGGTATCGATCTACTTTTGCTTTTTTTAAGTTTTTGAAAGACATTTTCGATTGTGTAACTTTGAGATGCCGTCCAAAACACTTGATTAAATACAATTAATTTTTATGTTATGAACATCGACGTGACTTCGGGCTGTACATCACCTGCACTATCTGTTTTCGTTCACGAATTAACTGGATTTGCTGTTATTGCCTTCAGTATTTCACTTTCGATTGTATGCGATGATTTTAATTCATGTGACTGTAGCTTTCTTTGACCACTAGGTCGCCAAAATGTAGTGGATTTCGACACTCGTTTGGACGCCTATTCAAACCATGTTTTCATTAATGATGTGAGTATATATGTGACTCGTAAACGTGCTTCATTGTCTAGTTCTGGTCATTGTACAATTCTTATTCTACCTAAAGTATATGACAAGCTTGAAAAGCTTAAACTCCTACATCAAAAAAAAAGAAATTTATATACAGGAGTTACTCAAAAAAAATATCTAAAGTTTGAAACATATGTGCAACAAACTGGGAATTATTTACAGATGACTCGTTGGAAAACATTATTGGTGTTATCACTCGTTATCTTAAATTCTGTTTTGATGTTTGCTGTCGCACTGAGACCGTTTTTTTTTAGTTCTGATCGACTTTCATCTCCACAATCAAAACGATTACGGAGGGTAAAAAAAGGGATGTACGAGGAGAAAAACTCAATGGAAGTTCGAAAGCTAAATGGCCTAATAAACTTAGAGATTAGACGTCTGAACTTTATGCTTCCTCAGTAACTCCTATCTTGTTAAATCTCTTCAAGCATGTGGAAACTATTTAAAGAGCTTACATGTGAGAGACACATTAAAGGTGATAACCAGATGAATGTTTGTGACTTAAATAAGTCTTTTGTACGTCAGCCATCTGATGTCACGCTTCCTATATATACAGGTTTGAAGAATAATTGTGTTCCGATTTTCCCTGAAAATGATGTCCGAAAATGTATCCAGTCACTTAACTCATCCCAATGTTTAGGACCTGATGAAATCCCAAAACTCTCTTTTAAAAAAATGTTCCGACCTTCTGTAGTATCTATTCATGAGCATCTTTAATAGATCTTTCTCAGCTAATCTCATACCGAAAATATGGTGAAGGGTAAACATAATCCCAATACCTAAGAAAATATCTGTCGATAAGAATTAGGATTTTGGACCTATAGTAATAACTCCACCTTTTCTCTAAACAATAGGAAAATTATTGATACTCCCATTTCAAACTGCACTAAAAGAGCACATTGATCCTTATCAGTTTGCTCACAAATGCAAAAGAAGCAACTTAGATGCTGCTGTTGTTCTGCATCATAATATAGTATTCAGCTTGGAAAAGGGTAAGAAGTATGTTCAATGCACTTTTCTGGACGATACTTCTGTCTTTGACTCTATTCCAAGAGAACTACTACTTAACAAGTTAATCAGCTCCAACACTGACAACTGGATAACCAACTGGCCATGTTCCTATCTCTGAAAGAAAACAGTAAACTGTATTTGGAGGAAGGTATTCGACATCTCTACTATCTCATGGAAGTGTACAACAAAGACCTACTCTTTTCTCTCTTCTGCATGATCTACCATTTTCCATAGAAAACACGTTTGTTAAATATGCGGACGATCTTACTGTATGTATCCCGATTTCTACCTCTTAGCATCCCATAGAGATGAATGAGTTCTTGTCTCCTATTGAATGGTAGTCTGTTGTAAATGGTCTTACACTTAACCTGTCTAAGTGTCAAACTGTTAACATTAGCCTGAGACATGAACAGCACCTAAACACCCTGTTGGAGTCTCATAAAGCTTGTACTGTCGGAGATTCTTTGATAAACACAGTGTCGAAGGTCATTTATCTTAGTGTAAGTTTTCCGTCTGACTTACTACATGAAGAGGTTGCATACATTTGCTATTACTTGATATTTACTCTTAAGATTTGTCAATTCTTGCATATTACCTATTATTCTTTACTGTTCTGCATTATTCTTTCCCGGGCTTTCAAGAAAAGACTGCTGTATTGAGGAGATTAATGACGGCAGTTATCAGGGTGTATAGTAAACTTTTAAAGGTGGTTATTAATATTATTAGTGGCTTTATTCAATACTATATTTTGGTACAATATAGAATTCTCAACACAAAATATTTTAACAAGTTTCCTTTTCTTATTTCGTGAACAACCCTGACGATAAATATTGAGTGGTCGCCAGTTAGATGTTAGCAGTTTAGTAATCGACATCTGAGTAATGTATATTCTTCTTGATGCATATTGCCAGCAACCACGATATTTCTGATTAGACCTTTTGTAACCTTTACAGTGAAAGGTTGTACACTTTTCAGAAACGCATCTGCATAGGTTATGAGACTAATAAGCATAATGATGTATTAAAACCATCAAAACTAGATAACTTGTTGAAATATTTGGATGACAGGAACAGGCCTTGAATGATGCGATTTGATGGTTGTGAATAGACTTCTAAAATCTCGCAAACTCCTGACAGGTGTTGTTTTATCAGATACTAACCATCCACTTTATTCACATATTTCTCTTTGTATATCTTCTGGTAGAATGAGATGTCAATACATCAGAATACATGCACATAAGCCAAGGTTTGATAGTTCTACAATACCTTATCTAGAAAATATGCCATGTGATGAACAGGTTTTTAGGGTTGATCTAGTCAATAACTTGTATTCCTAAACATGTTTCTAATTTTAAAAGAAAATCGTACAGATTCAAATCCTTAAAAAAACATTTCATTTAACTCCATTCAGTTGATCTACTTAACTTTAGTATATATGTTTGCAGTTATCAGTCTCTTGCACTTTTTTTCCTTTTTCTTTTTAAATTTAACTTGTTTAAATGCCTTGTGCTAAGAATTCTGTATTGTACTAGAAATATAATATTGAATAAAGCCATTAATAATAACGATAATAGTAATAATATTGTCCATGGAAATTGTTTCAATTTCGCATTCTCAGTAGATCCTGTCTTAACATACCAGTAGTTTGTTATTATTTTAAAGATTTTATGGATTGAACTAAATGACAGAATTTGCTCACTTTAGTTAAATTATCTCCAAATACCAAATATAACAAGCCTAAACGTGTGGATGCAGCTCTACTGCTGTCATATGCGGTAAATTATTAAATAAATCAGAAATAACGAAACTTTCACAGAAATGCAAGTTGGAGACGATAAATATCAATGCATTCCTATGATTTTTCTTACTTTTTACTTCAATTCTCATACACATAGCTCCCTTCGTTATCTTGAAGACAGCGAACACAAAGATTGGTGTGGAATAATATGAATCCATTTTATTTCTCTAGGTTCTCATAAATTGCTCACAACCTATAATATTTTAAAATCAAAGTTATCATAGAGATTGACACTTATAAATACGAGAGTGATTAGAGATATATTTGTGTTTCATGATGTAGCGAAGATTCCAGTAGAGCTAATAAGGTCGTAGAGAGTTTTATTTCAGATAAATGATGTGTGAGGGGGAAAGCTCCAGAACACCAAGCCGAAAAACCCCTGTATGTGGATTAGATGATTATAATGATGATTCCGCTTTTACTAAAAAACTATACTTTAGAGTTTCTGCCATATTTAATAATGTTTGGAATAGCATTCCTTTCACTTGTCTTCTGTCCTCTCATTTGCGACTTGGAGGGTCCTAGTGTTCGAGTGCTCAAGTTGTACGCGGTGTAGCAAGAAATACACATTATAGATATAACAAATGGTAATGAAGAATGATGTAAGGTAAAATCAGTCAATGCGAATAAAAATCATGGATTAAAGTAAAATGGCAATGATGTTACCGAAACGTGATGAAAAATTTAAATAATGAATGGTTCAATAAAAAAGATGTGATGTTACCAGGGTAAAGAAAGATTATTTAGTATCTTTTTGGACGCATATGTATGGTTTTCGACGTTTAATCGCTACGCCTTCGGCCAATTTCAGAAGGTTGGTATTCGGTTGTCTATTAATCACCTTGAAAGACTTCAGTATATCCACTTAACTTCAACCTGAATTCAAGAGTGATGGTGTTACAGGGTCAATCAACATGTTAACTTTGTTATATTACTTCTTTACTAGGTCATTGTAGAAACATAGTCACGTCGTTATTAACTTACAGCTTTTATTAATAAGGCCATATAAATGATGACCGACTGATTTGATCACACTTGATTCCATTAGTGTGTAGTTTTTTCAAATAAATTGTGAGTTCGATCCATCGATGGGCCTGTTCAAATAACCGAAGTCGATGTTTCAAGATGGTGACACCAACTGAATTATTGTCACCGTGTTCGAACACACGTTGCCGAACGCCTGAATTAGTGACATAGTGTTGCCACTGAATGTCAGCAATCTTTTAAAGACAACGATGATCAAGCACAGAGAGCACCATCTTTAAAAAGGGCAGTAGGTAAGTCATCTGGGTCCGGTAATTTGTGGTGTAATGTATACAAAGTTGACGGATATACAATTTCTGTATTATTTTGTATGTAAGCACTTATCAATAGTAAACTGCAGTAACATATAGTGATTGCAGTGATCGGGTAAGAATTAAGTCAGGGCTTAATAAATTGGTCTCAATTAATTGTACAGATATCTTCCAATAGCCCTTAAAATCAAATTGTATAAATTTCTGTTTGATTATTTTGTATATAACCATATTATGTTAATAGATGTCATACATAACAACGACATTTCCTTTATCTGACTCGAATTTCAATAGTCCTAATAATTAATTTACGATTTTTTTTTGTTTTTTTTCGATCAATAATTTAGTTATTGTTCAAGTTATCATCTTGTTCAAACTATTTTGCATTTGATACATGCATTTATGGGCTATATTCTTATGTTGATTGTAATGACATACAATGTCTATTTGTTATTGGCTGTTTTATTCGGTTTCACCCTTGGTTACTTTCTATTCGCACGAAATCGAGCTCTGCTAGTCCGATCGCATAACTGCTGTCATTAGACAATGAGCGCATAATTATGTGTGTGTTGGTCAGTGAATTAGTTCAAGCTCTTCGGATTCGTTTGAAGATAATCAAATTACTTTGTTGCACACATTTTGGATCTCTTTGCATTCTCCATGTTTGTGTTACTATTGTTGTTCCTGTGTTATTTATTCTCATTTTTTCAACATTGTTCTCCACCTTCATTCTTTACCTCCATTTTTTTAACCACCTTATCTAGATTTTGTGAATTCCCAATATGCATCAATATATACTATTTTGTAAAATTTTTTATTAAAATCAAGTAGTGTGTGTGGTTTTGATTGTTTTGTTTGTAATTTCTGTTTTACCTTTCCTAAATCATTTCTACCACGCTTCATGTACACTAGACAATCAACAAACCGTTGATTCTCCCCGATCTCTATTATCAATAAAATATTTGTGATTTGTGCTCAAGACGTATTTCAATAATACCATTTGGCTATTATGATGTTACCCTGTTATACTGTTTTGATGATTATGGTAATCAGTCATCTGAACTATGAGTTACTATTCGTAATTCCTTGGTTAAAGATATCTTGTCAGTTTCGTTCTTTCACGTTTCTGTTTTGTGAAGATTTGTAAAACAGAGGTTTATTTTACGTTCTTTATGATTTCAAAAGTTATGCCTTTTCTTTTTTGCAATATGTCAATGAAATTTAATATGATTTAAAATAAACCGTTACTTACCATATACACTTATCACTTGGTTTCTCTGATTTCAAAATTTTTGCAATATAAGCATGAAATATTCATTTAAAAGTCTCTGTCATTATACAGTTTATGCTCAAGTATCTATTTCGATCATCCAGATTATTTCGGGAATCTAAATTTTCTTTATTATATTTGTATAGTTATAAACTACGTACATGAGACTTAGGCACAATAATGAACTATTTTAAAGTATAGGAATTTCAGACCATAACAAATTATTAGAAAAAAAATAACTATAGAGTAATAAAGTATTCAGTATATCTGTTAGCTGCTTAACTGTACTATCTTGTATACCTTCGTCTTTAAAACTGCGATTAAATTAAGGCTTCATTTACTGAAAATGTCGTAACTTTATTGCACATTTTATATTACATTCAACTATTCTGTATCGTATAATCATTTTTCATATTAACTAGCTAACAATGTCAACAGTTGTTCTATTTTTCTGTCTATACTAATATTATTCATTTGCCACTGATATACGACAGAAGTAGAAAGAACTAATCACATTAGTGTTATCATTGTAAAATGACCAAAAATTTTTTCTGCTTTTCTAAAGGAGCTTTTAATTCTTACTGTTGTTCAGTATTAAATTGTGCTGCATAGTAGTAAAAATATGATATAACTAGAGTACTGTTTATAATTGTGCACATTGCAGAAGTTAATAAGAAGTAATAACCAGTGAATTTTCTATGGAAGTTACTAGAACTTTGATTTGTTGTTATTTCAAAAGAATCAAATGATTATTTTCATGAAATTTCGTAAAATTTTTCCTGTTTACAAATTTAAATAAATAAAGAAGATCATAGTCTGGGAGTGGAAATGATGTTGATTTTTCAGAATCTGTCACAATACCAATAAGCCGTTACAATGAAAGCGTTTTGTCAGAATTTATTCATCCAAAAAGATGAAGTTATCAATCTCTTGTTTTGGTGGCTTCGTCTTCATGAGATCATCACGTAATAGTTTTCCAGGGATCTCGGTTATGTTTTCTTAATCCTTACTTCTGAACTTTACCAGTCCATATCTTTTTCATTCCTACCTAAGTATTCTCTTCTAGAATACTCATATATATTCACCCCATAAATAAACAAACCTCTGAACAGTTCTTAATTCCTTCACAATTATTGGCACTTATTATCCTACATGTACACGTCAATCTCAGTTTTATCTAGGCCTTTCCCGACATAAACTTTGTACACCTATTATTTTTAATGGGTAATATCATTGTTTCTGGATTGTAAGCAGCTGAGAAGAATCCACGAAATAAATGAATTCATATTGTTCTGCTACATTCTTTATTCATACTTTTGTGGGATTCAGTGTTTAATGTTGTAAGCACAGTATAATCAAATCCGGAATCGCACTCAAAAATTATAGATTCATATAACGAGTCAACTGATACAATAAAAAAAACAGTTTTGTGGTGGGGAAAGAGGTCAACGAATTCTTTAATATTGTTGACTCTGGGCAATGTTCAAACGTTCTTTTATCACATTCCTCTCATTCTAACCATGCAGTCTTATCTACTGAGACAAATATTCCAAATGAATCAATTTCCGGTCAAATTACAGATGATATCATATCAGATGCTGACTATCTTAAAAATCCACTAGTTTATAATAAAGTCCTTTGTGAATTTGCGAAAAATATTTCAAATGTATCAAATTCTGACATTATAACAAATGTTGCTTGTTCTCATAATGCATTTGTTTTTGGTGAAAGCCTTAATCGATATGATGCATAAATTCTCAATGGGTTCAAATCTAACTACAGTTCTGATGGACCCATATCGGATTTTATTTATCCTCACAATCCATTCACCTCTAGTCAGTATGAGGAACAAGTAACATTCTGATCACATTTCAGATGTCATTATATCAGACGTTGGATGCTCTCACACCTCATATATGTACCTTAGAATTCCTCCTCAATGCTATGATAAATCAATTGACATAACAAGTGTTTGCGAGACATTCGCAAAACCAGAGTGCCAAGGAGTAACAAAAAGACTCTTCAACCTCTGCGTATACCCATACGCCCCAATACACACACGTTATTTGTAAAGTGGGTACCTGAAGGTCCAACATTGTTTCGTGAGGGAGGGCGAATCGTATATGCATTGAACGAAGGAGCAAAGCATGGAAGTCAGAAGGTTAAGTAGATTTTTCTTTCAAATGAAGCTGGAAAAACAACTGGAACACGACTACGTGACCGGTCGAGATCCCAGCAAGTACATAAAAGAACAACAACCTTTCGAATAGAACTTCCATGAAAAACTTATTCGTATGTATCCAGTTTAAAAAAGGGAGTTGGTATTATGGAATAAAAAGTCAACATTACATTCTTTTACTCTCTATGATCTTCGTTCAACATTACTTCAGTTCAATTCAATGTGATGATTGCTCAATGTAGCATTTGTTTTGTTTTCCCATATGTCATTTTATTCTGCGTAACATACCATATTCTTGTATTCAATAGACATGAACTATGCTCAGCATGACGTGTAGCATGTGATTTGTTATAACTCTGGGTATTTTTCATATGCGTGATTTCATCATAATTATTAAACAAAATGGATATACAACCAATATATAAGTAAATGTATTGTCGACTACAGTCGTCGTCATGTTTTGTGGCTAATAAATCTTCACTTGTACCAGTCTTTAACTCCGCCTGTAGCTCCTCTGGGGGTTACTGCCGGTCCAAAGCCCGGGTAAAGGAGGAGGGTTGGGCATGAGGTTAGCGACCCCATCCCGTAGAAAATCAACTCGCTAAAAAAACGCTAACCAGAAAAAATCATTCAAACCATTTAAACTCTGCCCTGGGAGTAGAAGGAATAATTATGACGTCTCATGATTAAAGCCGAGTTCATTCGGAAGTCATGAGGCCGATGCACCTTCTTACAAGCAGAGCGACAATTTTTATAGGTACATGGAATGTCCGGACAATGTGGGAGATCAGAAGATCCTTCCAAATTGCTGCAGAAATGAGAAAATACAACCTAGAAGTGCTTGGAATCAGTGAAACACATTGGACGCAGGTTGGACAACTACGACTATCTTCAGGAGAACTTCTGTTATACTCCGGTCATGAAGAAGAAAATGCCCCATATACACAAGGAGTTGCATTGATGCTGTCCAGAAAAGCACAAAATGCACTTATTGGATGGGAATCTCATGGACCAAGGATCATCAAAGCCTCCTTCAAAACAAAGAGAGAGGGCATTACAATGAACGTCATCCAATGCTATGCGCCGACCAACGACTACGATGAAGACGCTAAAAACCAATTCTACGATAGGCCCAACCAAGGACCTGACCATTCTAATGGGAGATTTCAATGCCAAGGTTGGAAAGGACAACACTGGATACGAAGACGTCATGGGACAACATGGACTGGGAGAAAGGAACGAAAACGGTGAGAGATTTGCAAACCTATGTGCCTTCAATAAACTGGTCATAGGTGGCACCATATTCCCACACAAAAACATACACAAAGCCACTTGGATTTCACCGGATCACACTACACAGAACCAAATCGACCATATCTGCATCGACAAAAAGTTCAGGAGGACGATGGAGGATATGAGAACCAGAAGAGGAGCTGATATAGCATCCGATCATCATTTGCTGGTCGCCAAGATGAAACTAAAACTCAAGAAGCAGTGGACAATGGTGCAGACAACATCACAAAAGTTTAATACGGCCTCTCTTCGAAATGCTGACAAACTCAACAAATTCATCATAGCCCTCAGCAACAGGTTCCATGCCTTTCATGATCTACTCAATGGAGAGGGAACTACCATGGAGAGCAACTGGAAAGGTATCAAGGAGGCCATCGTTTCAACATGTCAGTAGGTTCTGGGTCAAAAGAAGCACCATCACAAGGAATGGATCACTGTTGGTACACTGGATAAAATTGAAGAAAGGAGGAACAAGAAGGCAGCAATCAATACCAGCCGAACAAGAGCGGAAAAAGTTAAGGCACAAGCTGACTACACAGAGGCAAACAAGCAAGTGAAGAGCAGCATCAGAACCGACAAACGTAAATATGTGGAAGATTTAGCAATGACAGCGGAAAAGGCTGCAAGAGAGGGAAACATGAGACAATTGTATGATACAACAAAGAAACTTGCTGGAAATTACCGTCAACCAGAAAGACCAGTGAAATGCAAGGAAGGCGAAGTAATCACCGACATTGAAGAACAACGAAACAGGTGGGTAGAACACTTCAAAGAACTCTTGAATCGACCAACTCTACTGAACCCACCTAACATCGAAGCAGCACCCACAGACCTCCCAATCGATGTTGGCCCACCAACAATTGAAGAGATCAGCACGGCCATTAGACAAATCAAGAGCGGCAAATCAGCGGGACCAGACAACATCTCGGCAGAGGCACTGAAAGCAAATGTAACAGCAACTGCCAAGATACTCCACATCCTCTTCAGTAAGATTTGGTATGAAGAACAAGTACCAATAGACTGGAAAAAAGGACTTCTGATCAAGATACCAAAGAAAGGCGATCTCAGCAAGTGCGACAACTACAGGGGCATCACTCTCCTCTCAATACCAGGAAAAGTCTTCAACAGAGTATTGTTAAACAGGATGAAGGATTCCGTGGACGCCCAATTTCAAGATCAACAAGCTGGGTTTCGTAAGGATAGATCGTGCACAGATCAAATCGCAACTCTACGTATCATTGTGGAACAATCAATCGAATGGAATTCATCACTCTACATCAACTTCATCGACTACGAGAAGGCATTTGATAGTGTGGACAGGACGACACTATGGAGGCTTCTTCGACACTACGGCGTGCCTGAGAAGATAGTCAATATCATACGGAACTCCTATGATGGACTAAACTGCCAAATCGTCCACGGAGGACAACTCACCGACTCGTTTGAAGTAAAGACCGGTGTTAGGCAAGGTTGCTTACTCTCACCCTTTCTCTTTCTCCTGGTGATCGACT